ATGTTTCTCTAGAAGTCGGGACAGAGCTGCTGCAGGAGACCAGACTAAATTTACATCAGTCCTTAGAGATGAACCCTTGTTTTGCACATCAGAAAGGTGTAAACCAGTAGGCACTCCACCCAGGGATACATACCCCTGAGGTCTTCCAGGTGGTACACAACTCATCTAGACATTTGCCTAGTTTACAACAGGCTGTATAAAAAGCACTAGTGCAATCAGTACTGTACCAACTAAAATTTCATTCAATGACTTGTGTGCTGCTCTGTACACTGAAATGCAAGTACAATAGTTATATACCAGTTGATTTATTTTATAATTGAATCATAAGAAATGAGAAGGTCAGCCATTTTTCAATACCGGTTTGCTGTGACAGTTGTATTTTTACATCTGATTTTATAAGTAAGTAGCTTAAGTGAACTGAAAGATGAGGTGCACAAGGCAAGCCACACTCTTGAAAGGGGTACAGAAGGTTAAGAGCCACTGGTATAAATTAGACCTGGCCACAAGTTCTCAAATCACAAAGCACCCATTTCTCAAAGAGAAGGAAAAGCTGACCTCAAAAGAATTTTGAGAAGAGTTTGAGGGGGGTCAAGATATGCTATTTTAACTTTTTTGTTTTAATTGGAGTTGTTTGTGCCAAAGTAACTGTTGCACAAGTAAAAATAAAGAGGCCATCAGACAAAACATCCCAGTTGCCCACAACTGACATTTGAGATTTTTTTTTTCCAGCTTAGAGAGCCACTTGCAAGATTAATTTTTTCATCCCAATTTGCAATGGAAGAAAGTTTTGAAAGTCATCCTAGGCCAGGAAACCTGTTTCACCCCCAGCTCTAGTGCAGCCCCATGCAACTCTCATCTGCCTAACCACCACTCCCCACCAATGTCCCCTCTAATCTTTTCCATCTATGTACAAATTTTTTTCCATCCACAGGCAGAATAAATTTTGTGCAATGAGGCATGTGCAAATGTGCACCACTAGTAGAAACCACAAACTTAATCAACTGGGTGGCATTTGACTCTGAGTGGCTGCACAAGTGCACAACTGACAGGGAACACTGCTCCCCATACAACTCTATCCACCTCTTGAGCTGGTCTACAGTAAAAATTTAGGTCCAGCCAGCTATATCTTTCAGGGATGTGAAAAAGCCACACCTTGAGTAATAATGAAGTCAACCTAACTCCAGGTTTAGACAATACTAGATGGACAGGAAAAATACCACACTAACAGGAAAACTCTGCCCCTCTGTATGTAGTGTCCACTAGGGAAGTTAAAATGTGGGTAACTGCTGGGGGGAGCAGGGAGGAACACCTCAGCAGTTATATCCCCTCCCCCACAGTTGGCTCCCTGGGAACTGGTGCGTGCTGCTTCCAGGAAGCCAGTGCGTGCTGGGAGCTGGCTTTTAAGTTGACTCCCAGCGTACACCAACTGCTACCCCACACTGCTGCCTCTGCGCCAGAGGCAGCAGTGCTAAAAACCACTTCCTGGTGCATACTGGCTCCCTTCTGAGTCCCACTCCTGGGGAGCTGGCTGCTGCCCGCACATTGCTGCCTTGGACACAGAAGCAGCAGCAGCATGGGGTGGCAGCTGGCTCCCCAGGAGCCGGGTAGGAGCCTATGTGTAACTGTGAACGTTAGCGATTAAGCCCAGGCTTCCCATTTACACGGTCATATGCTCACATCCCTAGAGTCCACAGGCCTTATAAGGGCGGCCATCTTGGGTCAGACCAAAATTCCATCTCTCCAGTATTCTGTCTTCCGACAGTAGCCAATGCTGGGTGCTTCAAGGGAAGGAACCGGACAGGTAACCAACAAGTGATCTTCTCTCAAAGAGGCAAGATGGGACTTCACTGTCAAATACTCGATTTTATTTTTAACTACCTTAAAAATAGGCCCCAAGCATCCCCCACTGCTGCCAGGTAGTTTTCAGTGTGAGGTCAATGTCTGGATTGCTCCTGGATCCACTCACAAGCCCACTTCACCAGTTCTCCATTACAAGAGCTTTTGGGGGAAGGGTTCGTTGAGCTGCGCCTGCCTCATGCGACCTTCACTCTCCCCCTCTGCAGTTTGCTCAGGACGCTGCCACTTGTGTGAGAGGTTCTTCCAGATACTGGACAAGGGCCTGGGCCTGCGAACAGATTGTTATTCAGCACAGTAAGACGAGCCCTAGTGAGTAGGCAATCAACCACACTCTGTTTACAACAGAACTGCTGCTCCTCCCTGCTAAGTAGTGGTGAAATATTATTTTACCATGAGGAAACCAAGGCAAACAGCCTATCTGTGGGCAGAGTGGCACAGAACTGGGACTTACTAGGGGCTGTTCAAACACAAAAAAGACAGTTCAGGTCTTGTCCTGAAATCACACAGATTTTGTGGGCAGTTATTAAAAAAAAAACAACCACCTATACTCTAAGGCACTGATCCTGCTTTCATTTGTACAAAGTTCTGGCTGTTTTATAGGGGCCTAAATGTTAGGCTCTCCCTTTGCTAGAATGGAGTTTAGAGGCTCAGGGCTGTCCCTAGGATTGGGGCCCTATACAATATTAGTCAACCGGTGCCCCTATGTCCGATGGCAGCTGAGGGGAGGCGGGAAAGAGGGGAGGCGATGATTTCTTAGAGATGTGATTTCACAGTATTCAGCAACACACTAATGAAGTATTTTATAACAAATTTTAAACTAAGATACTGTTGAATAATACAGTCAGTTTCTGAATGTACAAGATATATCTGGGGCTGGCAAATGCCACTGTAATGGCTCTCACAGGTAATGCCTCTCTGCTAATAATTTAAAATTGAAGAAGCCTGCCAGGGCTAATTAGATCCTCTCCGGAGGAAGCAGCGCTACAGAACAGGGATAGGAAGAGCCATGTGGGTGGGCAGTAAGGCCCAGAGGTGCCCTACACAGCTGCATATTCTGTGTATGGATAAGGACGACTCTGACAAGGCGCTTGATTCCCCAAATACCTCATCTAGGTTCCTCCCCAGCAAATGTCACTACAATCCATCCCCCACATCAGTTAGAGAGCCACTCATACTATGCAGAGTTCACCAATCTACTTTTCAAACTACAGCTACACAGCTGCCCCCCGCCTCAAATGCAATCCGGCAGCTCCGCATCACCTTGGCTTTCAGCATCCCAAATCCAACAGTCTCTTTTGCATACATGCACAGCAAGAGATTCGCCAATGGGGGGGGGGGGGGGGGGGGAGAGGGAGAGAAGGGGAGGCCGGCAGAAGGGAAGAAAAAAAAAGGATTTGAAGGATAGGTTTCCACTCTAGACCCCCCATGTCCCGGACATTTTAACCTTCTGCTCTTACAGTCAGACAGACACTGGGATCCAAATCTCCACTGGGAAGGCACTGTGGTGCAGTCTGCTGGGAATTCAAGAGACCTGGATTCTCTTTCCAGTTTTGGCACTGGCTAACCTTGGAAAGTCACCTCATTTCTTTCCCATCTGTAAGACTGGAGACGACCCTCCTTTGTGAATTGCTTAGATACCTACTGATGATAGATTCCTGTGACACCTTAAGACTGATTTATAAGGGAATAAGTTTTTGTGGGCAAAACCCCATTTCGTCAGGTGCATAGAGTGGAAGTTACAGAGGCAAGCATTAACATACTGTACAATTTCCACTCCATGCACCTGACGAAGAGGGTTTTTGCCCACAAAAACTTATGCCCAAATAAATCTGTCTTTAAGGTGTCAATGGATTCTTTGTTGTTAGTGTGTATCCACACTAACACAACTACCCCTGAGACTTGATGCTAGAATGCTGCTTCAGAGCAAGGTATTATGTTCTTACTGCCCTGCACAAGGTGATCAAACAAATTGACCAACATTATCCCATCAGATTGTCCCATCACACTTGAAAGCCTAGGTCATTCTTAAAGAGCAAGGCATTTGCTCTGAAATAAGATCTTTCAGCCGCATGTGTGCGAGGGAGAAGGAAGAATGGCAACCTGTTTAAAGTTTTGGCTTTGGATAACTTGTGTTCCTATGGCATCTAAGTACTTAATCTGAACTTCAGCCTCACCCCACGGTGCAACTATTATCCTCGTTTTATACATGGGGAAACTGAGGCAGAAAAGAGGCAGTAAAATTTGCTCTGAAATAAGATCTTTCAGCCGCATGTGTGCGAGGGAGAAGGAAGAATGGCAACCTGTTTAAAGTTTTGGCTTTGGATAACTTGTGTTCCTATGGCATCTAAGTACTTAATCTGAACTTCAGCCTCACCCCACGGTGCAACTATTATCCTCGTTTTATACATGGGGAAACTGAGGCAGAAAAGAGGCAGTAAACCTATAGCATCTGGAGTCCTGTGATCCAATTCCACATCTGTTTCAGGGATCTATGGGTTAAACTGACAAGAGCGGAGACATGTAGCAGCATTCTACTGCTGAAAAACTGAGCCTTTCCTGTAGGAATGAATCCCTGCCCCATCCCTGCACCTCACAACGTACCATGCAGTCCATAAGGATGAATTTCAGGTTGTCCTCATTGAAAGCCTGGTGACCGTTCTTGTCATAGGCCACCCAAATGTTACTGGCGATGGCTGCCGTGACCCTGGCATCTGTGTCTCCATAACCAGAATACGCAAGTAGAGATCCCTCATTGTTCAGAAGTCTACAAAGGACAGAGGGGGAGAATTTGAGCCAAGAGCCCACAGGGTTTTGTGCCACTTCTGCTTAGGCACGGACTTCACTCATAGGGGTTTCTATGGTGCTCATCACCTTAGTATCTGATCAGACAGAACACACACGGAATCTCATGACATCCCCTCTGAGGCACGTCTCACCCTCATTTTAGAGAGGGTATCCAAGGCGAAGTGATAAGACCAAGGGCAGATAAGGCAGTGGCAGAGCTTTACTTTACACACCCCAAACCATCCTTCCTCTCTAGCAGGGGTGCTCGTTTTCCATGGGTGCAGCAGCTCCTAGGAAGAGAGGGCTGTGGGGGAATGGACCTCCCAAATTTTTTATTTTGCTGTCTTGTGGATACTGCTCTGGATACAGCCTCAGCCTGAGAGTGCGCAAGGGCTAAGTCTACACTGGCACTTTACTTTTTGGCTCAGGGGTGCCCCCCCGCAACCCCTGAGCGCAGTAAGTTACAACACAGTGCCAGTGTGAACCAGACTACAGTGCTGAGAGCACAACTCCTGGCACAGCCTCAACGTTTGTATCCACATCTGCATTTGTAAGAGTGATCCGTGGATTTGCAGGCTATACAGATGCAACTGTTCCCTGCCCCCATTTCTTTGCCTTCATGTGGCTACCCACATGCAGACCCAGCACAGAGAAGACCTACGCAAGAAAAACAGACTACCTGCATGCAACAACACCAAAGTGTACTTCACTGACATACCTCTCCCCAGGGCTTCAGCAGGGAAAATATTAGTAATCTGCTCTCCAAGTTCCCATCCACTGTCCCCTACAATGCCTTCTGGAGGAAGTCCTGGCCAGACCCTTTTACCCCTATCAACGTGCCCTCTAATTTTTTCCACCCATATGGAAAATAAAATTTATGTGCAAATGTGCACCACCAGCAGAAATAGGTTACTGGCTGTGGGCACTGCAAGTGTTCTGCTAATCATCTGGGCAGCATTTGAATCTCTCCTAGGTGACTGTCCAAGGCAAGCACTCAGCTTACAGGGAATGCTGACCCCCCCCCCCATCCACATCTAATGCCTCTGAGGAGGGACTACTCCTTATTAGGGTGCACTGGGCTGCCTCTTCCTCCCCACTTTTCCGAAAAGGAATTGTACAACACAACTGAAGCTGGGTGGGGGGCCACCAAGATGTCTCTGTTCCTACCGGGGCATGAAGTGGGAGATGTAGGGAGAGGGGAAGACCCTTTGGAGGAGGGGGCACTAATCCTTAATGGGACCACTGATCTGGTCACAATACTTCAGGGACAGGGTTCCCTGATCCATACCCAGCCATGCCCACTCCTCTCCCCCACCACTCCCTTTATACTCACAGGGTGCTCTGGACCCCTCCAGTGTTGGCTTGGCTCAAGACCTGGGTTAGGGCCTTCGGGCGCAGCATGGTAGCAACAGATCCTTTTTCCTCCCTGCAGTGGTGGAAACACACACAGCTCAGAGAGCCTGCTTCCCCATCAGCTGATCAACCCGTGCAGGGCGACTTCAGCCCACAGCAGGCTGGGAGTTGTAGTTCCTTTCCAGTTCTGTTGCATAGACGGGGCATTTCATGCACACAGATTGCAGGGCAATTTCTCTTTGTGGGTGACTAGCATCCTGCTGGTGCTACAAACCAAACGAGCCCAGTCCTTAGCAGTTCACACAACTACTGTGATCTCCTGTAATCACACCACAGGAAACATAGCATTTACGGTCATACAAGCTACAGACAACTCACACATTTTGGGTCTTTTTAACATCCCCAGCTGCTGGAGTCAGTTGAACCTCAGCTTTCATGAAAACAAAGTTTCTAAACTTCACGATTGCCATGTTGCAAATGCCAAGCATGTAGAAAGGGAAGAGATAGAAAGAGACCCACGGGTCAGCCCCCTAGAACAATTTTGTGTTCTTTTTATTTGCTTGCTGGATTTTGAGCCTTTAGGAACATGTAGGTCACATTTACAAGATTCCCCTCCCCCCACAAAAAACCCATCAGCTCCTTATCTATCTGACTCCTATATGACTTCAGGTGTTCATGCTGGAAGTCAGACACCAAATATGATGAGGCGGGTGATTAAAAACAAAACGAAAACACCAACCTACGGTCTGGGGACATTGCAGTTGTAGAGGAAAACTGATAAGCATGACATCTAAAGACTCAGGAAAAAAAAGCAAATACATGTTATTTTTGGAAGATCTTGTCATTTTTAAGCCAATCTCATGGCTTCTGGCAGACCTGACCCAGGAGTTTGATAATTTGGGCAGGGGTGACACTGCAGTCTTATCAGTGTCATTTTCCCTATTGCTGTCCCATCCGTTTATAAAATTCTCTGCTACCCCAGGTACCCCCAAGCCCTGTGGGGGCAGTAGAAGAAAAGAATAGGCAGGTGCGTGAGTGAACTGGGAAACTTTTTTCTTCTTAGCCCTGTGTACCTTTTAAGGACAGAGAATTCTGTATCTATGCAGGGACAGCTATCAGTCTAGGAAGCAAAGCTAATGCAGTATGTTACTGAAGGCCACATTTCTTGCACTCCACCACCATGACCACAGGTGTTCCCTGAAAGCTGGGCACTTGCACAGCCACTCAGGGGAGATTCAAACATCACTCAGCTGATTAGCAGAGCACTCACAGATAGCAATTTTTTTAATGTGCACTGAGGCATGTATGACTGTCCACTGTCCTTAAAACAAAAAAGCTACACACATGGATGGAAGAGAGAAGGAACATTGTTCAGGAGGACAATGAAAATGCAGTTGTCCTCCTTCAGAGTTCTAGGAGCATACATCCCATTTCATCCCCAAATAGGGACTCCTGATTTGTTTAAAAAAAAAAAAAAAAAAAAAAAAGGCTCCATTGGGCTGGACCCAGGTATACACATATTACAGTAACACATCAAAGGCCTAATTGTGAAGCAAGATAGACTCTGTAGTCCCCCCTCCAAAGAATTTTAAACTTAATTAAGTTTAGCTAAGTATCCCAGCAAAACCAAGCCATTTTGCCAAAGTCTGCCCCCAACTGACAGTGCTGAAGAATATTGGCGGAGAAGGGGGGTTGAAGAATATTGGGGGAGAAGAATTACCCTCACCCAAGTGCTGCTTTAACAACATTGTAGCCCCACAATAATTACATTTGTAGCACAGATAACCCCTAAAAAAGGTCAAGAATCAAATAACTAAGTTACTTTCACACACAGCTACTTACATTAAGAGACTAGTTGCCTATCAGAGATTAGCAAGCACTCTCCAGTGCTTTTTATAGTTCTTTTGCAACAGCTCATTCCTGGGGGAGTGTGGGAGGAGCCTTCGAACCCTCCTTCCAACAGACTTTATCACTAATTAGACTGGGACTTGAGGATTCCCTGCTCTGCCATAGATTTCCTGTGTGACCTTGGGTAAATCATTTAATCTGCCTATGCCTCCAATCCCTGTATGTAAAAACTGGGGGCATCTGCACAGCACTGCCTCACATGGGGTTACTTTCAGGATAATATTCTATAGGTTGGAGGGGACTCAGATACTAAAATAATGGTGGCCAATGGGCCATATAAAGACCTTAGATTGATACACACATTAGAAGAACTGACTAGGCCTTGTCTTTACCAGCCACGCACCAACTGCCCCCTTGTTGTAGTTATTGAAATATGAGCACTAATTTTGCTGTGGTAGACAGTGCCTAATAGGTAGTGGTGTATTTTTCTGGTGTCTTTTTGTTGCTATCTCAGAAAACATACAGGGTGGATCTTGAATATTATTATTATACATAATTAATAATAAATCTTCCTTATGCTTCTTTCTTTTTTTCTTTCTTTCTTTCTTCAGAATCTGAGGAAGTGAATTGTAACTCAGGAAAGCATACAATCTAATACACTAATAAATCTGTTAGTTTTTAAAGTGCCACTGGACTCTTTGTTTTTGCTAAAACAGACTAACATGACTCTGAAACCTAACATTATATCAGCTGCTGATATCCCCAGGCATTATCCACAACAGACTGGATAGCCATAATCAGGGCTCACCGAACCACGGCGAGTCCCACTCGCCAGCCGTGCTGTCCGGAAATCTGCGCATGTGCAGATCACCCGAACCTGGCTCTTCCGGGTTGCAATCTACTCACCAAGGGCGAGTAGATTGTATTATTTGTCGAGCCCTGGCCATAATTAACTACTAGCACAGCTCTGAATACGGATGTTGTATTCAGTGTAGACAGGGTTTTCCCCACACTTCATTCCTATCTTTCTTTCTCACTCCAGATGCCCATTCCCAACTATCACTCAGAACTGTCCCTTCCAATCTGTCCCTGCCTAATTGCCACGGAATCTTTTGATCCTAATATTCCAACACCAGCTACTACAGAACACTCTGACTCCACATTCTATCCCCATGGAACCCTTTGATACTGACATTCCATCCTCGGCTGTCATAGAACCTTGTTCCATGTTGTGGATATGACAACAAAAATGATTAAATACCTAAAAAACATGATCCATGAGGGAAGACTGAAAGAACTGGGTTTGTTTATTCAGGAAAAGAGAAGACTGAGAGGGAACATAACAGCTTTCAAGTGCCTAAAGGGTTGTTAGAAGGGAAAGGAGAAAAATTATTCTCCTTAACCTTTGATGATAGGACAAGAAGCAATGGCATAGAAGGTTCAGGTTGGACATTAGGAAGAACTTCCTAACTGTCAAGGTGGTTAAACACTGGAATAAATTGCCGAGGGGGGTTGTGGAATCTCCATCATTAGAGATTTTTAAGAGCAGATAACACAAACATCTATCTGGGATGAGATGATACTTGGTCCAGCCATGTGTGTAGGACTTGATGACCTTCTGAGGTCTCTTCCAGTTCTAGTATCCTATGATTCTGTGATATGGAATGGCTTCCAAATGAGGAAAGGTTAATAAAAGTGGGACTTTTCAGCTTGTGAAAGAGACATCTAAGGGGGAATATGATAGAGGTCTATAAAATCATGACTGTTGAGGGGAAAGTAAATAAGGAAGTGCTGTTTACTCATTCCCATAACAAAATAACTAGAGGTCACCAAATGAAATTAACAGACAGCAGGTTTAAAACAAACAGGAAGTATTTCTTCACAAAATGCACAGTCAACCTGTGGAACTCCTCATTAGAGGATGTTGTGAAGGCCATGACTATAACAGGGTTTAAAAAAGAGCTAGATAAATTAATGGAGGGTAGGTCCATCAATGGCTATTAGCCAGGATAGGCAGGGATTTTGTCCCTAGCCTGTGTTTATCAGAGGCTGGGAATGAGTGACATGGGCTGGATCACTTAATGATTCTCTGTTCTGTTCATTCCCTCTGGGGCACCTGGCATTAACCCTTTTCAGAAGACAGTATACTGGGCTAGATGTAATTTTCAGTGGTGCTCAGAATGGGCCCAAGATCAGGACCAGAGGCAACTATCCCAGGCCCTGTGCTTTGGGGGTCCAGGGTGGCCTGAAGGATTAGTGGGGGGCCTGGCACTGGCAACAACAAGTGACCTCTCCCTGCTCTGGCCCACTTTGCTGGCTCCTGGCATTGCTCAGGGGTGGGGGTTGAATGAAAAGGTGGAGTGGGGGCATGGTGGGGTGGAAATGCTGCTAGTACCAGGCCCCCCTGATAACCCCACCAGGCAGCCCTGGTCTGTGCATCCCCCAGAAGCACAGGGCCATCCAGAGCATAGGGCAGTTGTCCCAGTCTGTCCTATGGACAGGATGGCTCTCAAAATATCAGCCCAAATGTTGCTGGAGTTGGGCCCATGTTCCTGAGTATTGGTGGAGCACAGGCACCATGGGCCCATATAACTAATTGCCTATGGCTAGCTGGATCTTTGGTATGACCCAGTGTGACTGTTCTTACGTTTTCCCTGTCTGATACCAACTTTCCATCCCTCTGAAACAAAGCCTCCCATCCCCAGTTACCTACCACAGAGTCCTCTGATACCACCATTCCATCCCCAGCTGCCACAGAACCCTCTGATACCATCATTCCATCTCCAGCTGCCACAGAACCCTCTGATACCATCATTCCATCTCCAGCTGCCACAGAACCCTCTGATACCATCATTCCATCTCCAGCTGCCACAGAACCCTCTGATACCATCATTCCATCTCCAGCTGCCACAGAACCCTCTGATACCATCATTCCATCTCCAGCTGCCACAGAACCCTCTGATACCATCATTCCATCTCCAGCTGCCACAGAACCCTCTGATACCATCATTCCATCTCCAGCTGCCACAGAACCTTCTGATCCTGACATTCCATCTCCAGCTGCCACAGAACCCCCTGATCCTGACATTCCATCCCCAACTACCACGGAACCCTCTGATCCTGACATTCCATCTCCAGCTGCCACAGAACCCCCTGATACCATCATTCCATCCCCAGCTGCCACAGAACCTTCTGATCCTGACATTCCATCTCCAGCTGCCACAGAACCCCCTGATACCATCATTCCATCCCCAGCTGCCACAGAACCCTCTGATACCATCATTCCAT